AGGGTCCGTTTATTAGAGGAAGATTGATAAGATCACAGCCTGCGGCCACGACCTAGAGAAAGCATTCTTGTGGGTATGCGGTATGCAACGGTATGCGCTATAGTTGCGGACACGCCACACTGTGAGACCATGCCACCCTTCGTCAGGTTCAACTGGAGAGCGAAAGAATACGCAGCGCACACAGCATCTCCCAGTTACTTTGGGAAGCACTGTGGCACCATGTCCTGGCAAGAGTGAGTCAGGTGAGTTGGACAGCCGGTGAGACCTAGAAGATACACCCTTTTCTGCTGAGAGTTGCAGTAACCTTTATAAATTTGATAAAAGGGGGGTATGTTTGTAGTGGGATGTATGATGTATAAGGCTTAGCTGGCGGGAAGGAGGGAGGGAAGGAAGGCAAAAAGGAAGGCAGGAAGGAGGCAGGAAGGAAGGCAGGGAGGAAAGAAGCGCTGCGGCCTCCCCGGCGCCCCCACCTGCTTGTATTTTGCGAGCGTAGAAACAGTTTCGGCCATTTAATATACTTATTGTTTTTTTTGGTGAAGGTTTATATTGGCTTTATGGATCAAATCTATTCTATGTTTAATTGTGTATCTTTTGGTATTCCTTCATTCATTCGTTCGCTCTTTCGCTCGTTCGCTCATTCATTCAATCATTCATTCATTCATCCATGCAACCTTTCATTCATTCATTTATTCATTCATTCAATTAAGCAATCAATCAATTAATTTATCAATCAATCAATCATTCAGAAGCCAAGTACATGCGCGTTTTTTTCCCAGTGACCGACAAAGGAGAGAGCCAGAGCCAAAACATTGTGGTTTAGGAAGATTCATCGGAGAAACTCAATGATATTTGTTTTTTTGGTCGTTCCAAGTTACAGTACCACAAACCAACCAACTGTGCCATGGTTATGAACCGGTCAGACTGCTGTTGTTACTAGTTTGCAGGTTTTTGCACGTAGACACAGCTTCGGGTATATGGTATAGCTATAGATCTAGATTTAAGAAAACCACTTAGGCTATCTCTGACGGTTTTGCAAAATAACAAAAAAAAGCAAAAAAAAGCGAAACAACAGCAACTACGAAAGGCAGAAGCCAACAAAAACCAAATCCAAAAAGCAAAAAAAACACATGAAACAAAGAAAACAAAAAACACAAATCCAAAACACAATAAACAGCCAAATGAACAAACAAAAGCAACAGCCAATCCAACAAGCAAAAAATGCAAACAAAAAAGCACAAGCCCCAAAAAGCAGCAAATCCAAAAAGCAAAACATGAAGCAGCAAAATCAAAAACAAGCAAAGCAAAAATGCAAAGCAAACTGAAAAAGCAAAAGCCAAGAAAGCAACATCAAAACACGTTAAATCAAAACGCATATGAGAAAGCAAAAGCAAACACACCAAAATAGAAAGCAACAGCAAAAAGAAAGCAACACAGCAATAAATACACACAAAAATAACATAAAGAAAAACTAAACCAAACACACAAGTCAAACAACATACAAAAACAATGCAACACACAAAGCCAAACAGCGCAAGTCTCAAAAGTAACAATGATTGGACAATTGCCAGCAAACAACACAAATTCACACATCATAAGTCAAAAAACAAAGCAAAATACACGACTTAGTACAGCGCAGCAAAACATGTTTCCCAAGCTAGGCACTATGGACTGGACCGCTGGCTGCAGACAGTTGGGGCCCCTTTGTGTGCGCATATAGTGCATATAGTATAGTATAACACAGTGCTTCTATGTTGCCGCCGTGTCCCTTTTAATAGGCCAAGTGATGGGCGCAACTAGCCGCTAGCTAGTCGCTGCTAGCTTGTTTTCTGGCCTTTAAACAACGCGCCACAGGTCAGAAGCAGGCTGTTTTTGCTACCCCATTGCCTGGCTCCCCAGACCCTCCTGCTGCGTCCTTCCTTTTTGGGCCCCAGGCCATCGGCCCAAGCGTGACCCCTCCTCCTCCTCCTGGCCCCTGGGGCCCAGACAAGCGGCGGCCAACCCGCACCAAAAGCCGGTGTGAGAGGTCCCACCACCCCTTCAGCCTATAGCACGACCCCTCGTGCCGCAGGCCCCTGGCGCCCAGACACAAGCCGCCACAGCCAACCCAGTCCCGGCAGGACACCAAAAAGTCGGCGTGAGAGGCCCCCACCCCAGGCCCGGTTGCTCTCTCTGGGGAGGGGGTTGGCTTTTGCTTTTTGTTTTCTTTTTGCTTTTGCTTTTTCATTTGCTTGTTTTTGTGTTTTGGATTTGCTTGTTTTTGGTTTGTGTTTTTTGCATTTGTTTTGCTTTTTGGATGTTTATTGTTATTATATATGTTTTTAACTTGTTTTCGTTGGCTTTTGCTTTTTCATTTGCTTTTTGCTTGTTGGATTTGCATGTTTTTTTGCTGTTGTTTTTTGTAGTTTTTCTCGCCGTGTTTTTGCATTTTTGGTTCTCAAGATTCACAGGGTTAGCCTGGGTCCGGCGATGATACATCTACAGTAGATATATAGCCATTTACATTTTTGGTGAATTAGGTCTATATTGGTTCGCATCCCATTGTTTTTTTTTTTTTTTTAAAGTTTTGCATTTTAGTTGGTTCTGCACGTAACCTTTATGACTGTCTTACCAGCATTGTAAAAAGACCACATTGAATTAACGATGATCAAAAGCTAATTGCAAATCAATACAACTATTGACAACTAATTAAACGTACAGAAGGCTAAAGCCAAACATATCCAACTAACACAATTAATCAACACTAGTTAAGAATCAATTAGTATTGACTAAAACCACATGAAACATACAAACGACTGAAGCCCCCCAAAAAATATATCATTAACACAATAAATCTAACACTAGTTGAGAATCAATTCGAATTAATCAGAAACTCTTTAAAGCTACAGAAGGCTGAAGCCTTAACACAAATATACAACTAAAACACACACACATATATATATATATTATTTATATTTATATATCCAGCCCGCAACCATAGGAAATTTGTGATTTTTTCCATGTACAGCCATGGCTTTCCTATAAATTGTCGATGGCCACATTTATTGACATTTGAGATATGCTAAATTCCTGCAGCCGAGGTGGTGAACTGGCAGAAGCCCGCGCTCGCATCTTTCACAGCTCGGAGTAGTAGAGCATCAAAAACAGTTCAACTCAAACGAGCCTCGACACGAAGCCTGGCATGCGTTCAGCCATGTGCACAAGAAAAGCTGCAGGAAAGGCAATGCATTGGTCCAGTGAGATAAGAAGACAAACACGCTTCCTTGGAAGACTGGTCCAGGTGCATTGCTTCACCGCTTCTAGCTTCCCACTTTCAGGGGCATTTTTCGTGCCAGCGTGTTTTGTTTGAGGCTTGGCCTTTCTTGATTGATGTATTCAATGTATTCACTGCTGATTCTTCGGCTCCAAGCATTGTCTCACCCAGAGATCTAGAACTTACCAGCAAGGATCAGCAAGGCTCAGAGTGACCAGCAGTGCAGAACACCCACGACGTGTATTGTGGTGACCAATATAGTCGACTCTATGGAATATGGGTTATTGTCCACATCTTGAGCGTAATTATTATTGAAACAAGAAGCTACTAGGGGCTCCTGGCCTTACTACTAGGAGCAAGGACGCGACTAGGGGCTCCTGGCCTTACTACTAGTAACAAGAAGCTATTAGAAACAAAATGAAACAACAAATGTAACTTAATTGTTGTTTGTGATGTTCAAGATGAAGTCTGGCAGCTCCAATTTCTCAAACAGCTCCAAGTGCCTCCGGATGCCTTCCAAGTCATCCAGCCGATCAGCTTCTGTCAGGAATAGCCAGCACCTGCAATATACGGAGGGGTTCTTTGTGATTACTGATGGTTTGTCATGCTGAGGAGCAAGGCTTCGTTGGCTGAAAGCTTAGATAGGCTTAGATTGAATATATTCGAGTCAGAACTTGGAAAGCTAATGGCTCGTAAAGGCACTGGCGAGTTTTTGATTACCCAGGCTGCCTAGGGCCTAGGCTACTAGAAAGTCCTGCCTGAGCTGAACTGATGTGAGCAGCGCTCTCCAAGGCAAGCACCAATTCATCAGTGGCGTCTGGTGATGAAAGAAGGTTCAAGGCTGGCAGATGCTTGTATTTTCCGTGGCAATAGCTTGAGACTGGCAAATAGCTGCAGGGGAAGCAGAAGAGAGACAGAAGGGCTGGCGAGGATGCAAGTCAGAACTCACAAGAGGCAACACAGACCAGAATCCGACCTGCTTAAATCGCTTTGTTTTAATGTAATGTTATTTTTGTTTCTTGCACTTCTGCACTGATCAAAGACTTCATTCTCCCGGCAATGGGTGCTGTGGCTGCAGGGAGTGATGTGTTCGGATCAAGACCAATCAGCGAGCAATGGCCAACCAAACCTAGTTTCACAACAGAATGCAGATGCCCACAGCTCACAAACCCTTTGTGAGGGACTTTGGAATCAAGAATAGATTCTTATTGGCGCTTATTGGTATCACCTGCATGGAGCCCTGCGAAGCCATGGGAAGATGGTCAAGCCTGGGGATTTTGCAGGAGTTGCTAGCCCTACCTTTGTAGGATTGATACCACATCAGGGGCGCTTTACCGTGTTGTGATTTTCCACTTTGCATTTCCAAGGCCAAGGCGCAAATAGAGCAAGGACGCTACTAGGGGCTCGTGGCATCGCTACTAGAAACAAGGACGCTACTAGGAATATGTTTGAACAAATAATTAGAATGTCGTGGCATTGAATTTGCTACAGGAGGTGGGAGCTTCACAGAAGAACTGTCGTGGTCACTGGCGTCTGGTGTTGCCTATGGTGCTGGGCTCGAAGAGATAGAATGCCTTATATAATGCACCAGGAGCCTGGTGGCTGGTGGCTCCCCTTGCCACCAACTCAAGGAACTTCAAGCACTGAGGTATTACGGCAACCTTTCTTGGACAGCCTTTGGATACAATCAAGACAATGATGCAGTGCTTTGATTGAAAGTGACATATGATCACACGTGCTTCAGCTGGCTATGTTTCGAAAGATGTCGCCACCAAGGACTGAAGACCGAGGCAGAAATTTTGTCCAAACAGTGCAGCGCATTTGGTCTTGCCAAACAGTAGCTAGGCAGCTCGGAGATGGCCACGTGTTGTCGGTTCCCGCGCGTTGTACAACTTATTATAGTTACAGCAAGTGTTTCGCTATGGGTAGCATTTGGCAGTGTAGAGCATATCAATCTTCAGGATCATGTCGCATTGTCCATTGATTAAACTGACTATACACATATGGGCTTGTTTTTTTTTTAAGGTGTCCAGTTTATGTAGGGCTGGGATGTTCGACTTAGGCGAAGCATACCCCGAAGCATACCCTGAAGCATACCCTCTGGAAATGCTACTACTTTAGTCTTCACACTGCGCGAAGCATACCCCCGAAGCATACCCCCGGAGCATACCTCCGAAGCATACCCCATAGTCAAACATCCCGGCCCGGGAACCTTAAAAAAATACAAACCCATATCTACGTATACAACACTTGTGACTTACATCTGGCTACACTGGCTGCCGTGGATGCGGGAATCCTCCGATTCCTCAGGACTCCAGGCAAACTTCGTTGAACACTCCACTCCTGGCAAAGTTTGGTTCCTTCTACAAAGGCACCGCGCCAATGCTTTGTGGCTCCGTGATATTCCGCTCCTTGCCTTTCGTGGTATATTCAGGAAACTCAGCAGGCAATAAGCCAGGAAGCGCAGAATGTCAGCGTACAGCTATATATATATATAAATGTGTGTGTCAAGCAAGAGTCAATACTGAATGATTAGTGTTTCCTAGCTGGAACATCTAGTGCTTTAACATGCTTTAACCTCCGGCAAGGGTAGGGGGGATGCTTCGGGCAACTTGAACAAACACACTACACTCCTGAGTCCCCACCTTCGCTGCACTGCATCTCATCTCATATTCAGATTGACTTGGGCTCATGGTTCGCTTTGCTTTTTGGTGAGTTACTGTTTTTGGGTCGGAGAGCTTCATTCCATTGGCAGTTGTTACTGTTGTTACCCTTCGTGAAATCCAATTGCGTTGGATGTCCCTTCCAAGATGTCGCAAGCCTTTGCCCCACCCTCACTTACGAATTTACCCCCGCCTCCTGGTTTGCTGGTCCTGCTACTACTGCTGCTGCTGCTGCTGCTGGTGGCATGACTCCACCCGCCCATGATTCCCCCCAAGTCACCGTGTATTACTGTATTTGTTTTGTTTTCCTCAACAATCATTGATCTTGGTACAATAGCCACAGGTTGTGTTTGGCGGGGTCATCTGGCTGGACATCCCTACACTACTGAAAAAAGGTCTCCAGCCAGGACACCCAAACAGGAAGCGCTAGGTATATAATCTATAATCACTCCATTTTGCGACCCCCTTGAGCTTTCACTTTTTAAACCTTACTGCGAGATCTGCGATAGACACGACCTCGAATGCCCAAGTGACAGCTTTCAGTGGAGCACTTCAGGAGCCTTCACCTTTTTGCAGCCTTGGGCTGGCTGCACGATTCTTGGTGTTGATGGTCGCGTGTGGGCGAGTGGGGCAATAGCCGGGCTGGCTCGCGCCTTGGTGGAACCTGGGCCTGCAAATAGATGTTAGCATCTGAGAAATTAGCATTTCAGTGGCAACAGGCAGAATGAACATGCCGCAAAGACAGAATGAAGCAGGGAGGCACACCCAGGGAATATTGAAGAAGGGGAGTGAGTAATTACAGGGCTGAGCTAAAGCAGCTTGAGCACTTCCGGATCTTGGCTTCTTAGCATTGCGGATGCTTCTTCCAAAGTTGCTGGTGTTTAAGGGCAAAGATGCAGACTTACAACGCAAGAACACCAAACATTGATTATATGTCAGCCAATAGATGCCCATGCGACCTCTGAAATCAGCTGGAGACATGGAATGCATTCCATGCGACATTTATTGGGGTAATGGACAACATGTTTTGCACCATCAAACCAGCGGGCTGCACAGACATATGCAAGTGCAGGAGGAGGATTGCGGATAAAGCATGATAAAGCTGGGTAGCAGATGAGGATTTTTCAAGATGATCGCCATTTACATAATATAATGTGATCCTCTGAGATTTGAGATTCTCAGCAATTGTGTGCAGAGGGGTCAACAAGAAGACCACAGAATGAAACGGAAAAGACATTGTTGCTTTGACCCGCGTTTCGCAAGGAGAACCCTTGGGAGGCCCTGAAGACACAAAAACAAGTATGGGGCACTGCATATCTCAATGCCCTGCGATCGGGATGCATGTGGAGAGGCGGATCTGATACGACCCTTAGTAAGGTCAACTCAGATCGAGTGCTAGCGTGATGGAACTGATTGCATCCAGATATGTACCGACTAGATTTCCAAATTGTACAGTGCCCCAGTTCGATTGATATTATTTGTTGCTTGTCATTGTTATGCATTCTCTTGGTGCTACGTGGCGTATCTCGGTGCAGGTGTTTCTGCAACGTGCTTCAGGAACGTGATCCTGGTGACTATCTTCTTCACTCTTTCCGACCCAAGGCTTTCTTAAGATCCTTTAAGGGCTTGAGCGCTGAAGACCACTTGAAACTTGAAATCAGCCTCCCAATCATGGGGCATTATATAATAGGGTGACTGCAAAAAAATACCATACAAATTGAATGTGTTCAATGGTTCTGATAGCTCATACACTTGGTTGAACATGATTTATATTTTTGCAATGTCAATCTTGGTGACCTGGTGTGCATCGACCAACTGGTTTAGGAACTTTTGACTCTTTCCATCAGATTTGAAAAGGCATTGTTTGTGTTTGCAAGGAGAGGCTGAACAGTTCTACCACGCTTATTGCCTTCCGAGAATTGCCATTTCTTCGTGGAAGCTGCGTGACTGTTTGTTGTCGCTTGGTGCAAAGCAGGCACCGGAGATCATCGCATATTATCACTAATTGACGCAATGGGTTGCTTGCAAGTGCTGACTGCAATACGCAATACTCCACAACAAGAACCCTGCTGGAAAAGGCTTGCTGGGATGTTTCATCTCAGCCTGGTCGCAGCAACAAACAGAACAGCAGTGAAGATTGGTAAGGAGTACTGAGATGAACAAATCTTGATTGCTGTTTGAGGCTGGGTTTTTTGCGTGGCCATTTGATGTCGTTAAAAGCCAGCTGCAGAGCCAGGCCGTGTGACATTGACGTTGACTCAACCCTCCTTAAGCAAAGTTCAAGGGTTGCACCAAGAGGACGACAGGCCTCCACGGCATAACCAACACCCCTGAACTACTGACGGATAATACATCTATATACATAGAAGGGCAATTATTGCTTGATGCTGTTTGACTGTCCTGGCACGGTGACATGCTTTCTACACTGAGCGATGCTGGGCGTGCCAACTGTTTGTTTGATTTGACGACGAGTCTCGTGGCAGGTTGAGCAAGGCAATGGCAAGCGAGGCATCAAGATTGTTTGCCTGAATGCTCAAGGGAATGTCAACAGATCACTGCCATTGACAACCAAAGTCTCCTTTCTTGTCTTAGGCCACTTACATCGATTTATCAATCTAACAATTATTAACAATTGAAGAGGGGGAACTTGTCTCCTGAAGCACCAAGCATTTGCTTTTGGCACTGTACATATGTTTGATTTTGATTCTCTAGCTCGTTCTTGTGAATTGTATTGTAGAGAGCTTGCTTTGAGGGTCCCCGTCGAAGGCGCCATTGAGTTACTGCGCCGAGCCTGGCATGAACAAACTTTGTATCGTGGTCTTGGAGCAGGGTTGCTCGCTGGCACATGCCTTGCCAAATTATATAAATGTTTGCTTTTTGGCCATCGGGGGGGCCAAGGTTTGCTTGCCTTGATTTCAACTTTGAAACTCAGAGTTGAGGCTTCTTCGGGCATGCCTTGCCAACGGAGCGGCTATGCATGCTTGCCAAACGGTGCAGCAAATCAGGTGTCAACAACTGCCCAATCGATAGTTGTGAAAGTTGGCTTGATTCACGTCAAGCACTTCTTGAAGGAAACTGTCAAGGCTCGGGCACCTGGAAGACAGCTACCACTTGGAAGATGCTCTCGCAGAGTGTCAAGCACTGATTCTGATGACCAACGATGGCCTGCGCGTAGAGGGAGAGAAAGAGTTACTGTAGCCTTGCAAGTCAGGCTTGTGACAAAGAGCGCGCACGCAGAAAAACAAAGAAGCACGCCAACCGCCGCCAACCCTTCCTTCTTGGTGCAGTTGATGCTTGAAGACATGTATACGAGGTGCTTGAGAGATGCAATTTGGATCAATTTGGCAATTTGCTCTTTGCTTGGTGGTTGCTGAGCAGATTCCGCTTGGTTCCGCCAGGAAGCGTGTCCAGAGGCGCTCGGTCCTCGGCCTGGCGATTCTGTGTCCTGCAGTGCAAGAGCAATATTTAAGCTAGCTAAAAAAAGCTTACTCTAGCACCCCGCCCTGTGAGCAAATAATTATGCATCGTCCATTCTTTTGCATTGGGGGCCTTGGGCTGCTCATCATTAGTTTTTCTTCCGGATTTGATGGCATGTCATTGTTGGAGCAAGGAAGTGCTCTCCACTAGCTTGTAGGTCTAGGGTTTGCTAGGAATCTGTCGACACAAAATCATACAAAATCATCCAGTGTTGCCCAGGGTCGAGTACGATGGCCCTCGCCCAGATGAAGAGTTCCTGCAGGCCCGAGGATGCCTGAAGTGAACAATTGCAAACTTGGCTTTCGTCCATCGAACCTTCGTTGAACGTCCGAGCCAAAGCCCAAACATCAAACAAGCGTAAACAATCATCCATCACTTCCAACCTCGCCAGGGAAAGTCCAAGGCAAAAAGAAACACACAGGGAAGACCAACATTAGCCCACAATAGGCAGCACTCATAAACAATATCAATCAGACAATATCAGTCCCAGATGCCTGCCTTTCCATCTTGGTTTATGTTGCGCACCGCATTTTTGCGTGCAAGCCACTTGAGCGATGGACAGGCTGTGCGAATAGAGGTGGAGGAGTCGATTCACTCCATTCGCCGTGCTCAGGAGTCAGTACCATTTGCCAGGAATCTTAGGAAGAATGATTCCATCGTGTGGGAGTGAATGGCATTGAAGCGTCCTTCAACTGTCTTCAACTTGCATTTGTGATCATTTGTGATCAGTCGTTTTGATGATCGCTTGGAGTATGTATTCATGTCCTTTTGTGAATATGGTGCGCATCGCATCGCTTGTATGGCAGGCGGTCAGATTCACACAGAACATGCAAGTTTGTCCACAACATGTTGCAAGGCTTACGCATTGCAGCTGAGTGGTAAGGCGAGGCGTCAGGGCATTGCCATGGTGTCACTAGCGTTTGTCGATCAACCAGGTGAAGATAAGTCCCTGATCTGATAGCTTCCCGACTTATTATTGGTCACAAAATCAGGGATGGTGAAAGAACCTACATTATCCTACATTTGGTATTTGTAGTATTCCTGAATTCTCCCAACCAGCATCAGCATTGGGGATATCCAAGCATTCCATCCATTTGCCAGACTGTACTTCCCGATAAGACGCCGAAGGCTCAGTGTTTGTTAGGGTCTAAGGGATTGAAAAGTCTAGCTCACATGCCTATGGAAGTTTGTAGAAAGCCCCTTCCCGTTTAAAGAAAGAACACTCATTGATAAAATGAAGATGCAGCCCAGGAAAAGAACGATACTAGGGGCTCCTGGCATCGCTACTAGGAGCAAGGACGCTACTAGGGGCTCCTGGCCGTACTACTAGGAGCAAGTAGCTACTAGTAACAAGAAGCTATCAGAAGCTATCTCCCCCTTTGGATTCCACTTCCTAGAGCTCGGACAGGGGCATCGTCTTCAAATGGAGCAACCTGAAGCCTTGGAGCGAATGCTGGCTGTTGACACTGGGCCAAAAATATGTGAATTGCCCACCTGTAATGACTCCAGGCTACCCAACCAGGCACAAGCACAACAGTATTGTTTTTCAAGATAAGCCAGTAAGCAGATCTCAGATATTCTCAGACGATCGCACTAATTCATGTTGGAAGTTGGATCAGTTGACATTGACATTGGTTCTTTTATTGCGCGAGCTTATACTCACCTCCTTCGCGACTCGGATTTAGGTTTTGTGTGCCAGAGTAGCTTTTCCTGATTGATTCAGATGATTTCAGATGTCAAAGGGAATGCTCGGCCGCATTTTAGGATGTGAACCAGCGGAGTATTCACGGTTTGTGCCTTTGATCGACGGAATGGTTTCGCATGCCACTTTGTTGCCAAGTGCTGGTCCACTGACACTTGGACAATTATGCAGCTTTGAAGTTCCGAGGCTACACCTCATTGTTGGTTGCATCTGCAGCAGGCGCTACCAATAAGCAAGTGGGCCTCGAAGACGGATAGAGTGCACTTTTTGCATCATTGCATCATGTTTCCAGTGGCATTGTATGGCAAAGCCACGCAATTTGCTGTCGAATCTATGGAGCTTGTGCCCACGCCGCAACGGAGTATTAGTGTGGAGGCAATGCTGAAATGGTTGCCTTTCTCTTAGAGGTGACCAGCTCAGTTATGCCATGCAGACTTGCGACATCTGGCAACAGTTGTCTTCAACCCCTTGAGAAATGCCACTACCCGCAACATCCTGCAACATCCTGCAGCCGCCTTTGTCGCTGAGATGCGGGCCGATGTGGCCATCGCCAGTGCAGGGAAACTCAGCTTGGAGAAAGTGAGTGCTTGATCGGCGTTTAGTCAATCTAGTCTCAACACAAGCTGATGTGATGAGATGTGCCCCGTTTGCCTTGATGTGAAAACCAAGTCATCATTAGTACGAGCGCTTGAAGAAGGGTGAGCTATCCTGCGTCCTAGCTAGGGGCGAACTTCTCCTAGCAGCTTACCTCCTTACTTATATAATTAGCAGCCGCCTACTATTTTGTGGCCAACTTGCAGACTTACAAGTCCGAGCTGCCCATCCACTTTGCTGCACAGGACACACCATTTGCCGGGCATATTCGAAACTTCACATTGTTCCCGCAGTATTTTGGGAATGATTCATGTCATTCCAGGCAGTGTAGAGACATGGTTTGACAAAAGGATACAAAAGGTAACTTGCGGACCATGATGGGTCATCTCGAAACAAGAATCCTGGCGTGAATGAGATCAGTACAAGCATGCTGCAGTGGTAGAAATACCTTTAACATCCTTAAACTTTAGAATGCGCACACGGGACTTGAACCCTTGTGTAGGACCGCCGACCATCGCATACCCATTTCATAACACCAGGTTTAAGTGTTAACAAAGTAATTTATGCTTTGTGAATATCAGGGTAGTCAGGGCTTAACAGTCGTCGAGTCAGAATGGTTCACACTCAGTGCCAGGGTGGCTACGACATCGTCATGCGCCTGCTGGCTGGAGCCCTGGAGGGAAATCCAGCACATGTTTGCAATGGGGCATTCTTTCGGAAGCACTCCAAAATGACTCGGAAATCGTCCCCAACAACGGCTGCTCTCTAATTGTGATTTCATCTCAGCCATTTCGCTCAACCTATAATATCGACTTATATATACTGTAAGTCGATTGTATATGGATATGGATTTGGATGACACGAAGGGTGCTTTACTAGCGGCATCGAGGGCATTCTTTCGGGCAGAAGAACTTTCCATATCCAAGCTATTTGGACAACCCCCACATCACGCCGGTAATGAAGCAAGGCAAATTATGATCCCCCTCTCCTCTCCTTCCAAGGTGGAGCCAACAAAAGAAAAAGGCCGCCTTTACTCCACTGGTTTTCAAGTTTAGTCACTCCGCAATGATGAGTGGCCTTGCATACCAATGTTGCAACATGTTGCAACTGTTTGGCTTGATAGTTTTTTGCTGTTGACTTTGAATGCTACTTCCCGGCGATTAAAATCGATGACTAGTACTAGAATGTGCAAGGCTTGCTGGATGTCGGGACTGTGACTGGCTGGAATGCGCTGCA